CATTTTAATATTGTACATATTTTAAAAATAATGCTGTAATGAAATGCTTCTTCATGTGGTTATTAAATAATTTTAAAAAAAACTACAAAAAATATTTTCCATTTATTACTTTATTGTGAATATTTATATACTGATAAATCTATGTTCCTCATGGGATCTCATTAAACAACAGTGGATGGCAGACTCTGTAATGACCTTAAGTAAGGGACCACCCATCACTTTGCCTGAGGACCCTACTGGTGGATATGTCCAAAGACAGACCCTGGACAGCAACTAAGTAAATTATCAAGTGGTTTCATACATGACCAGATTGGACAGAAATCCCAGACTATCCTCCCCAGGCCAGAGTTATGCTACCTTATAGCAGTAATTTAGTAAATGGAAAAATATATATGTAGGAAACTTTTCATATAAATATCTCTAAAATATTTGGAAAATGAGCTACTACATATTAATTCAGATCATTGGGAACATGCAACGTGAACTTGCAACCTTAGACATCCAAGCAGTTTACCCACAAACCTCAGCTCCTGCCACACTTCATGTGCAGACTGACATTCTTCACCTCAGCATGTGCTCCCTGAAGAGAAGATGATCCGTCATAACAATCTTTTGCCAAAGGTACTGATAAATCTTACAAAGCCTTGATATTAAACAGTACCTTTGCACCTGCTTGCCTAGATGAAGGGTAGTTTAAGTCCCTGGTTAAAGACTGGGGTAAACATTTGCCAAATGTGGGCATGCAAATGACATTTACATCTGGTCTTCTGCCTGTGTTCCCTCCTGGTGACAGCTTGTACTGTCAAGAGACGAGACGGTCCCAGGCCGCGCCATGGCTTGGTGTGTCTTTGAGAAGGCAAGTATGCCGTCCTGCGTTGAAAAGCAAGATCTTGTCAGATGATGTCCGTGGAAGCAGCGGACAGAAGGGCAGCCACCAGTTCCCAGCAGAGCTGGGCTACAGGGGATGCCGAAGCCTCTAGCATGTATGCTGAGATGTCATCGGGGTTCTCAGTGCCACTGTACTGCCACGAGACCTTGAGGTGTGGTTTCTGGAGGAGAGCAGGGAAAGCAGTATGCTTCCATGAAGTACATTTTTGAGGGTAAAAATCGAAGCAGTATATAGTTTATGAATGTGAGTCTGTTGCAAGACCGTAGATTACAGGCTCCTGAAAGACTATTTTTGTTTCCTTTCTGGCATTGAGTTTAAACTCACTAGACTCCGAGTAAATATTGGCTGAACTGATCTGAAAAGTGTCTTCCTCCTCAGCTCCACTGTTTAAACACAGGAAGAAGGAAATTAGTTGCAACTCAACTTTACAATGAGTTCTTGTCTGAGTGGAGGTCTGGCTATCTAAGCCTGGGATGGATATTTCCAAAGACATGAGCCTGAAACTTCAAAATCACTAGAAAGGCACTTCTACTTGAATGCCAAGTAGAGAGGCAAATGAACGATCCCTAGTTAGGTCGTCACTGTGGATTCACGTCCCATCTGAACCCCCTAGTTAGGTCGTCACTGTGGATTCACGTCCCATCTGAACCCCCTAGTTAGGTCATCACTATGGATTCACGTCCCATGTGAACCCCCTAGTTAGGTCGTCACTATGGATTCATGTCCCATCTGAACCCCCTAGTTAGGTCGTCACTGTGGATTCACGTCCCATGTGAACCCCCTAGTTAGGTCGTCACTGTGGATTCACGTCCCATCTGAACCCCCTAGTTAGGTCATCACTATGGATTCACGTCCCATCTGAACCCCCTAGTTAGGTCCTCACTGTGGATTCACGTCCCACAGAAGGACAGAATTCACAGCTCCAAGTTGCTTTTTAAATATATGGTGTCATCTGGAGATGTCTACGTGGCCAGAGGCCTGTTTCAGCACCCAAGGTGAGGTGGAAATTGGCCTTCTGAGCAATTTACATCTGACATTGCAGGCTAAGTGCTTCACACAGGTGTGTGAGAGCTCGAGGTTGGACACAGCAGATTAGGGACGCACCAGTGGAAAGCACAGCTGCTAGAAAACACAAGGACAGCATGGACCCCATGGCAGGAGGGGTAGATGCATCTGTACGGGGAGAGCTGACCTTGATACTGCAGCGGAGGTCTGGAGTGTGAGTTCCAAACCGCTAGAGCTATCGACAGAAGGAGACGCATTGCTCCCACTCCTTTCCCATTGTCTTTCTGACTGTCACACATTTCAATGGCATCCAGATGTTCTATTATTTTAGCTACCAACTTGGGAAATTATATTGTAGTAACTTTCCAAGTTGTCAGAACACTAAACTCAACAATGACAGTTTATAACCCATTTTCTCTAAAGTGCTTCATTTTTTCCTTAACCCTGATGGGTCGGCATTTCCATAAAGAACACCAGGCTTGTTCGGCTCCGTCATCTTCATGTAAAGCTCCTCTCTGTGGTCACCCACATGTAAACGGGATCCTCTATGCACATCTCAAGCACATTTCACTTTAACTTTCCTATTTGTGTCTAGATCTGCTTACAAAGTCAAAATTGCTTTATGCTTGAAAATTTAAATAGCTGTATTTTATGACTAAGCTACTTAAATTCCTTTGGGATTTAAATGTATATATTTTCTGAAAATTGAAGGCTAGTTTAAAAGCCCAA